CGATAATCCTGCAACGGTTCGGCCGCCGTGAGGACACGGGGAGCACGGCGTGTCTCACGATGGAGCGTGTATCGCGTGTGTTGCCTAATGGTGGAAGGAAACGTTATCCAGAGGCGGGCAATGGACGGGCATTACTGTACGGCGTACCCTGGTAGGGCCGAGAGAAGTCAGCCTCCGGGATATGGACTCGTACTCAGTCTTTCAACTGGTCTCGTACCGCGCTGCTCTATGCAGCGTGTCACACAGCCCCGCGAACAGCGGCAGCTTAGTTAACAACACCGTTCTCTGCTGCTCCGTATCGCGTCGTCGTCGTCTCCGTCGATTGTCGATCGTGGTCGTCCGATCGCCTGGATCGGACCACCTTCCTTCTTCACCGGTTACTACCTTCCTTCGCCCAGTGTGTCGTGCACGAGATTCTTCTCCTCCTACTCGAGGTTTGTCCTAGCACCGGTTGTCTGGATTCGCCTGGAATCGTTTGGAATCGCCGTGAAATTCCTCCGGTCGGATTCGAGTGGAATTATTGGCAGATCTGCCTCGATCTTCGTAACGAAATTCGATCTTGCAGTTCTCCAACATTTTCTCGCGAGTTCTCGCGCAATCGTTTCGTATTGAACTGTCGCGAGATTTTTTATCTGATAATTGGCTTCTATATCGAACTTCTCTCGTATCGTTCGACAGTTACGAGAACTTCTCTGGCGAAATTCCAATCGAATTCTCGAGCAACGCTCGTGGGACTTTCATCCGATTAACCGTACTTTCGAACTCGCGAAATTTCCATACACAGTTTTCGCTCGATTGCCGAGAGCTAATTCTCGTTCGAGTTCTCGAACGACTCTCGTCTTTTTTTTTTTTTAATTTCTTTTTACAAGCTTCGTCTTGTGAAAGAACTCTCGCGAAATTTCAGCCGTAGAATTCACGCGTAGAACTTTCACGAACGTTCCGTTAATTCTCGTCCAACACTGATTAATTACGATCTGCTGCGATGTTACACGTCGAACTCTCGTGGAATTTCCATTCGATTCTCGTCGGATTTTTGTGTCGTTCAATACGAACTCGTGGAACTCGCCGCAAGGTTCCCATTGAATTGTCGAAACTTACTTTCGAAAAATTCTCGAGTGTTCTTCTCTGTGTGCAGCAAGATTCTCGCCAAACTCTCGCAAGTGACGAGAACTCAAGGAAATTCTTCCCTCGAGATTCTTCGCGACACACCCCTTCGATGGATCTCTAAAATTCGATTCGAGTCAAGCTCGCTGCTGAAAGAATACAAGTTGCCGTTTGAGAGGGATTGGAAATACACGCGCGCGTACGCGCCGATCTCTAGCCGATGAAGAACATCGGCTAGTGCGAGACATCGACATCCAGTGGATTTAACGGGGAACGAGCCTTCGACACGGAGGATGACACAGAAGTGACGACGACCCAGTGGATGCAGAATAGAGCAGCCGAACTTCCCGTGGCAACACGATGGACCTCCTTCTGTTGATCGGATTGCTTCCCCTGATATCAGGTACGAGCCTTTTGTATTTTCTATCTATTCTCTATCCGTTCTGGCTAGACTGGCTCGCCGTTCAACTCGCGGACGTGTACCATACGTGCGTTTCCGTATTCTCGGATTATGAATATCGATCGAAGGTTTATAACACGTTGGCCGGAGCAACGATGCGACGCGTTGCGATGCAACGAAACGATGGGATGCCGGAATCTGTGGAAAGAAGCAAATATTTAAAGAGCACGGGAAAGAAAAGGTTGTCCGAGGGAGCGTGTACCGGTAAACTTTCTCGGCTTTCGTAGAATATTCGGCGTCTCATGGTGAACGTGTGCGGCTTGTTTAAAGGAGTGTTTCGCTGTGAATCTTTGAAAACGTCGTACGTTTCTTGGTTGTATACTTTTTGATATTGTGTAATGATTAATTTGCGATGTTTTAAATATACATTAAATTAAATTGAAATATATATATATATATATATATTTAATTATAAATATTAAATTAAAATATGTATATTATCTAATTTAAATATATAGTTTCAGTGATGTTTTAAATATTATATAGGTAATTACGATTGATTAATTTTCATTGTTTAAATATAAATTTCTTGTAAGATATCTAAACATCTGGCATTTAATATATTTCATGTCTTGTATCATAGAACTCCGTTTATAGAAACTTGTTGATAATCAACGAGTTTATATGCCTAATTGGAGTTCATATGCACAGCAATTTGTTCATTCTCATCATTCGTGATATTCCGTTCGCCTAGTTAATAACAGCTCACTAATAGAATAAATGCAGTGAATTTATAAGAATTCGTTTAATCCAATACAGTTTGAAATTTCGTTCAAATAATTGGGGTTCGTATGAATACAACACTATTGTAGTTAATTAGAAGTAAAATAATATAAATTGGCTATTGTATATTATAAAAAGTACTTCATTTTCGATAGTTTTTATTTTTGATGAAAATTCTAGTTGTTCGAAAGTTATAAAAACATGATGACATAGAAGACTGTTTAAATGCGGATTTTTCTGAAAATTTTCGTACCAAAGTTAATCTACTTTTCTGTTTTTCATCCTCGTCAAAACGAGACAAAGAGACAAAAAAGCGAACGGTCGAACTTCAAAGTACCGCCATCTTTTTTAAATTATTGACTTTTTCTTCACTCTGTCAGCTGTCGTAATTAAACGCGTTTTAATTAAGGATCTTCCCGGTCCTTTCTACGAACCGAGAGCCAAAAATATCGCGACGATTCTTAAAACGAGTGTTAAAATCAAATAAATTTTACATTTAAAAAAGAATTTTAAACAATACTGAAACGTGGAAATTTTCTACGCTGTAATAATAAAGAGTAAAAAAAAAAAAAAAAAAAAATTGAGAAAACTGCTCCCTGAAGTAAAATAAATCTATTCTCGTTTTTTTTCTTCATTGTTCATTCGATTCGATTGTTGTTCCTTCGATTTTTTTATTCTCGATGATATAACATTCTCGATGATGAATTTTCCCACTGCGAGGAACGAAAGTTTCGTTCCTAAGGAGAGACAGTCGTTCGCTGATCTGACGTTCTCCGCTGAATTTAATTGCTACCAATTCTAGGTGATTAACTTCGGCAGCGTTAAAAATATTTATTCTTCGCGCTCGTTGAGAAGCACCCGATAATGGCTCGATACATTTATCGATACGAGCCAGGCGGAAACTCGTTGTTTTGTCCATCAAAAAACTTCGGTGCCAGCTATTTTTGATGGAACATCGCGGCGTGGATTATCGAAACGCGATACTTCCATCGACGTCCTCTCCATAATTAAAACGTTATTCGGCCGTGTAATAATTCGCGTAATATTGTTGTAATAAGGGATTCTCGTTCGTTTGAAAAGGATGAAAACAAAGAGACTAATTAAATGAAATAAGCCACGTCAGACCAGTGTGAATGCAAAGATTGCAAAGGTGAGTGATTGTAGCAAACAACAAGGATTGCAACAAGAAATTCTTGTTTTCGCTTGAGAGAAATGAGAAAAAAAAAAAACATAAAGATGAGTATAATAAGATCGAAATATGAATATATTCCTTTTATGTTCCTTTATATTCCTTCCAATCGATGGTATAAAATTAATTTTAAACAAATTTTTATTACCTTCTCAGCGACTACCTCTATAAGCTATCGTGTAGATCCACCATTTCTTCACTATTCATTGTTCTCTGTGTATCAAGCAGACTCAGATTTCTTCTTGTTTCATCCTTTTGTCAAACTAGCATGAACGCAGTGCTTGCGATAAAAAGAAAATTCTTGTTCGCTTGAAATATAGAGAATAAGTATGGAAATTGAAATGCGTGCTACTTACGTTCATCCTTTTCCAGTTTCAAAATTGATCCAGAAAGTCAATTTTAAATCAATTTTCGTTAATTCCTCGGTGAAATTTTTTTTATGAAACATCGTTCTCTGTGTATCATCGTGTAAATGGGATACAAACCTTTATACTCGTTTCTTTATGCTTTTAAGACCAAATATTTAAAAAAATTGGAAATATAATTTGTCCTGCTCCTCCTCGCGTGGCCTTGATTTATAGCAATGTTATTAGTTCTCGTTTCTCCTCCGTAAATAAACCTGTAAACTTCCATGCATTTTCCATTCATGGGAAAATTTAAAAGTGGAAAAATACACACACACACACACGATCCATAGTAGATTATCTCTATAATGTTTCTACTAATTTCTATTTTGTATTTCATTTCTTTCAACATGTACGTACAACATATAAAATGTTGAAAATTCGCAGTGTGTTCATAAATTAAACGCGTCCAATTATAAGGGATTAGTGTCTATTTATCGAAGACACATAGGAATTCCCGGAGGGGAAAGAGCGAGAGCGAGAGGGAATATTTCACGAGGGAATATTTCACGAAGAGGTGCAAACGTATCGCAATTTTCGTCTAGCAATTTCGAGAATTTTCGTTGTGCACGCCTGAAATATTTGCCGGCCCGTATTTTCGTGTAAACGCATAATCGGCAAAGGATACGCGATGTTTCGCCAGGCTCGGCAGGCACAGCTGCCACGGGGCAACGGGGCCAATTTTTATTTTTCTGTCAACAACGCTCGCGCGAGCTTTATTACGCGACACAGGGTGAGCAACTGCGCTTCTGCCTCTCTCTCTCTCTCTCTCTCTCTATCGAGACTTGCCATCACTGCCCCTCTTTTTTTGTCCTCTTCGTCCTCTGTTTGACACCATCCTTTCTTCGTTCGTGCTTTCTGTGCTTCTTCTGAAATTGTCAGACACGCAACTTTCTTTGCTTTTAATAATTCAGTTCGTAATTGAAGTTAAATCATTTTTTTTTTTTCTTTCTTTTAATATATTGGTCGAGGATAACGAATAAGAATTAATTTCATTCAGGTGTGAGTGCGGATTTTTATGCAGGAAACTTGTACTTAGGAAATTTCGAAATGCAAGAACGCTATAATATAAGTATAATAATAAGTTTATATTTTTTATACTATACTTATAATATATATATTATATACTATATAATATAAACTTATTATTATAAACTATAAAATAAAGTATAAACTTTCGTATCCGTTTGGAAATGCAAAAACACACAGAAATATATAATTTACTATAATATAAGTATAATAATAAGTTTATATTTTTCCTATAGTACTAAAACTTATTATATACCATATAATATAAACTTATTATTATAAACTATAAAATAAAGTATAAACTTTCGTATCCGTTTGGTATATATTTCGTTATAATTTCGAGGGAAGTCACTTTTACTGATTCCGTGCCGAATAAAATACAAATAAAAATTACGTATATAAATATAAATTTTGGAACTACCGTGGAACTGCCAAAGAGAACGAAAGAGAATGGCCTGTAGCGAGCGATTTCCCGCGACGATTCACCTTCGATATGCAAATTATCTGTCGGGGAAAATCGCTGGAAATTCAGTCGGTCGCGCGTCTCGCGCCTTTTAAAACGTGCCTTATGCCTGGTTTACACGTAACGAACGAATATAAGTGAACACGGGCATGAATTGTCCGGTTTATTAAGTGTTGGAACTCGAAATGTTCAAGATGACAGGAGAAACGTATATATTGAATGAAAAGGCAGTTTTGGTCATGTGAATTTGATCTTGCATGTCGTATGAAATGAAATTTAACAACTTGTTTGCCTGGTTGTCATCAACACACGAGTGTTCAAATTATTATTTTAATTTCAATGTGATCGTAATGTTCAAGTCGGTGAAGGTTTGAAAAGATCTATTGTCTGAAATAAGATAATCAATATTTTCGATATAAATATTTTTCAAGAGTACCTTGTAATCAAATTTAATAAAAAATTTTACAAATGTAAAACCCTCGGTTAAGAGAGATATTGAACGTGCATAGACCACACGCAATGTGGAAAAATATACAAAATATTCAGTGTAATAATTGTATCACTATAGAGTTGTAAAATATTCCATATTGTTGTTTAAAGATTCCATTCTTTTAAATCTTGCCTATAAAAATATAAAATTATGTATCTGCACGTACATACACGTGGTCATTGAAAATTTCAGTTATCGTCATACAGTTGGAAATATTTATGACCATATCGTGCCATTTTAACATAGTCACGTTAATTGCAATTATTAACAATGAAATTACGAAATTTTATGCAACACGTGTGACACGTGTGAGTATAAAAGTTCTTTACAAGTGTAGAAATATTATGTAACTCTTGTTCATTTCTCAAGTGTGGAAACGGCTTAACGTCTGCAGGAAGCGTTTTGGTCGTCTTTGGGCGACGATCGTTGAAAAATTCATCGAACACTACGATCACGGTGTTGTTCCGCGCGAAATTTCCGTCGTGCAACAACCTTCCAATGGATTTTTCCGCCGGAGAACGCAGAAAAGGCGGAGTTTTCGCGGTTGATCTCGCTTTTCCTCGCCGCGCGTTATTGCGAATTCGGCGTACTTGGTGCCCGTACTTACCAACTTCGTTACCAGCTTTCGACGGTTCGGGCTTTGTGCTTTCTCACGCGAATTCCGCTTTAATAACCAAATTGCGTTTAACAACGGCTGGCCAACTTTCTTTCTGTTTCACGTTCATCCGTGCGATGCAATTTTGGCGAATCACATTGTCACCGAGTCCCTAATGCCTGCAACACCAACAGTTATATAAATTTATATGCACGAATGTGCATCGTTATGACACGAGTCTTTAAGAAAATACTTTTTTTCGAATTTATGTTTGTAAATATTGCAATTTGTAAAATTTGTAAAATTATCAATTTATATTATATTACAATTGATATCAGAAAATATCCGCGCGATAAAACGATAGTTAGATTTAGAAGCGGATAATAACCTTGTTAATAATCTACTAGAAGGACAACTTTTAATCGAAACAAAATGCTCGCAACCATCACCTAGGTACAAACAGTGATATACAGCACCCACCATAAATTGTACCGTAATTTAGGTAACTTCATTAGGCTTGCAGTTACGATCAAGGTCTCCTTGGAGGGCGTGCCTGACTTACCTGATAGGGAAAGTCGGGTTCAATGAGCAAGCTTGAACAAAGCACTCACTCGACACGTCTCGACAGTTATTTTCTAACAGTTCGATTCCGCCACAGTGAATAAATCACATCAGAATCAAACCTCGTGACTTAATTAATCACGCATATTAATCGGTCATGAAACTTACGTCGAAGTCCAAGAAAATACAACAGCCCCAACTATCCTTACCGACATAACTGTCGTGCAGACGACCTTCGTATCCGTGAATCAGCGTCATTATGAGAATTTTATAGTGTTTTTATGAAAAAGTAGTGATCAGATTGAAAAGGAAATCACATTTCTCGAAATAGTACGTGGTATTTTTCATAAAAATTTTCGAAAATATTCTTTCAAATAACACGTGTTAATGGATTTGACAGATTGAAACGGCTTTAAAAATCTTCTACAATTCTTCGATAGTTGGCGAAGATTTCAAAGAAACTTTCGCATTCTAATTTTCATTGTACGTAACGCAACAATCAATTTTATTTACCCTTTGAGCACTATATTACTATCATTTTCTGCACCGTTTCTTTCGAATTCTTCGTTATTTTATTACACTATCAAAGCGTTGGAAATATATCTGGAACAATCTACACAATTCGTAGCCATACAAAAGTGTCATTGATATTAATATATTTCTTTTTTCCAGCATATCGTTGCCTAATATACTTTCTTGTACCTCTTCGAAAGTAAATCGTAGCATCGTTCTTGAGTAAACTACGATCTGTCATTGTCTCATTTCCGGCCTCACTGATGTTACGAGCTTTAGAGCAGCACAACGCGAGACCTGTCTCTCTCGACACTTGCGCAAGAAGCAAGTTCTCCCCTTTCGTCATTTCGTGAAATTCTTTCTTTTTCGTCCGTGTTTCCACGAAGTCCTAGTTTCGACACACGGCATGGTATTTCGTCGAATCGTGTATTATTGCGATGAAAGCACTTGGTTCTTAATTTCCCTCCTTGGACCGCACGATCAACGAGTGTGCGATTTGTCTTCCATGCGAAGAACACAGTGGCTCGTGAGAAAGTGTTCGAACAATCTTATCGTAAAATTTTTAATGAACAAGTTCATGTTTTCATTTTTTTATTTCATTATTTTTAAAAGAACGAAGCTTGCTAAAAAAATTGTTCTAAATATTTCACAATGTCATTTTTTTTTTTTAAAGTCACGTGCCTAACTCTCTACGTTAACATTGTGTAAGATAAGAGTAAACTTCTGATAAACTTTTAAAAAAAAAAAAAAAAAAAAAAAGAAGTCACTCACTTCCGCAATTTTATTTACCACGAAACACGTGATAATAAATTCCGCATTGTAATGTGACTGATTGTACATTTTCCTCCACAGTTTCAATTTATGAAGTCATGTAAATAAAAAGTTTTAATTACGAATCGTGCTATGTGTTGAATTATTCTAACGAATAATACGTAATATGTACATCGAACACTTTCATTTTTCCTCTTTTATATTCAACACAGAATATAATATCTTTCAAGTGATTTTTTTTTTCTTAAATCGACAAACGTTTTATAATAAAATAGCTTTAACCAAAAACTATATATACGTTCGTATGTACATATAGAAGAGAAAATATTTTCCTAGTTACACACCAGTTTCCTATCTGTGGATTCTCTTTTCGTTTCACAATGCGTAAAACGTGAAACAAATTCCTCCGTTTCCACAAATAGAGGTGAAATTTAACCTCCATTTCCTTTTATTCCAAATCGACATTATTCGGGGGAGAAATTCTGTCTAGGTGCAGGGAAATCATTGCTCGTTAGTAGATGTTTCTTTCATGTGATGTCACATCAGTCATCACTGCTATATTATGGTAATTGTATACACTCAGCTACGGGGTTTGGTTTGGATAGCGGTGCTCTAAATCGACATCAAATTGCCAGCTATATACTGCAACATGAACGAAACGAGAGCCGCTCTTGCAGCTATTTTTGTGATCCTCGATACAATATTATTAAAACGTTCGTTTCGTTTCGTTATCAAAATTTCCCCACGGATTGTGTTTCTAATATCTAATGTGTGGGATGTTCTAAAATCGATGAACAGACGAATCGAAGCAAATAGATTGTTTAAAGTGATCCGGTTAACAAGTTAATGTACTGAAATTTTACTTTCAACTTCTTCAACAACCGTCGAGATATTAAACTTTTTCTAACTATATATGAAACATATAAAAAAGCACAAAGTGAAAAACATAAGCAGAAGAATATTTTTCAAAGGGTTCTTTTCATTTCATTATTCTACTTTCTTATCCTCGTTGTATTATTCCACAAATCTTTAGAGAACAGTATTTTCCGAAGAAGAGCTTCTATTTTATACAACAAACTATACACGTAAAATTTGTGCTACCTTGGCAAACATAACGAACAGATTAGCAACATGAGAAAGTGTTTAAGAAATAAATTTATTGACTCGAAGGAACAAACAATTTCTTTCCTCGTGACGCAGATGTTTCAGAAACAAGCATGACCCTACTGGTCATTTAATTTCAAGATAATTCGACCATGACATATATTTCGAACTATAAATTTCTCTATATATCAAAAGAAAATAATATCTGAAGCAATGAACAGTTGCATTATAATATACATATGTAATGTATATAATATAATACAATATCATGCAATATAGCATCTTTGATACTTACTATACTTTCGTAATGCTTTCATATCATTGATAGTAACAATATTACCTTGTTAACAGAATTGTCAGACATC